AGGAAGGCCACCGGAGCGTCGGAGCACAGCATCCCTCAGGATCCTACGCCGGGCAGAGGAGGACGCAGACCGGGATGCAGGCCGTTGAAGCTCCGTGGCGGAGGATCCAGTCACCTGAGCACTGTCGGCCAGCAGTGGAGGGAAATCTGAGGTGTAGGCAGTCGGTGGTTTCGGGTCCAGATCCTGACGAGGAGGAGCCGCCGCTGCTGGGGGGACATCAGTTGGGTGGACCGGATTGTTATCAGCAGACAAGGCCGCGTAGCGGTTGGAGAGACTCAGGCGAGGCGCGACTTTAGAGTCCCTCTTCCGAACGCCAACCGCCACTTCTGTCCAGGGCGACTCATGGTTAGGTGTGGAACAAGAGGAGGGCTGTGGACAGATGGAGGGGTCCCATGCAACGGTGTCCTGGAGGGCTACGCTGAGCGAGGCCAACTTTATGGATTAGCTAGCCGCCACGTCCATGTAGCTGGACAGCAGGGAGTCCTTCTTCCTCAGCTCATGAGAAAGTCGACGGATATCATCCTTAAGGTCAGCAATCTTTTTACTGGCTTTTTTTTAGCAGAATCTTGTCCTCATCGACCACAGCAGGCATTGTTGTTTTGGTTAGCTTAGCTTTGGTTAGCTTAGCTTTGGTTAGCTTAGCTACCAGGCCAGGTATGGCCAACCAACACGGGAGCTCAGTGCAGGGATACTGACAGATACTGATTAAAAGCCTTTTAAACTGTAGGCTACTGTTTTAAAACTGTACTGTCTCTCTCATAGAGAGAGAGAGAGAGATCACAAATGGACAGCTGTAAGTACAGGTGTGAATGTACCCAATGCGTCCTCAATGTGTCTTAAGATCTAATTGCTCAGACCACATTTTTTTAAAAGTGTGAATACTAATGTGTCCCGGGCTGCCTACTCAGCTGACAATCATGGCTTATCCAACCTTCCTCCAGGTCAGTGTTGCCAGATCTCGCGAGACAAATAAGCAACCAGGCCTGTGAAAACAAGCCCAAAACAAGCGACTTTTTCTATGGAGCCCCCCTAGGTTCCAGTGAGAGAAAATTAAATAAACTATGTGCACGGTTTTACAATCCGTGGGGACGGATTTTAAACTGTGGGTACAGATTGTCAATTTACATCCATGTGGACAGATTAGTAAACTGTGCGCAGTTTTGCAAAACTGTACCCACGGTACACAGTTTATTTATTTTTCTCCCCCCTGAGCTTCAGGACAATGACTACAAGAAGGAGTTAAACCACCTTTTAACATTATTTAACATTAGAAAACAGATGGGATATCAAATATAGACTGATGAACAAAGTACATTATATACACAGTAAACCTCTGATAATTAAAATTTGCACACACAAATAAATATCATCCTGAATTCACAAATTCTTTATTTATTATTGCTTTTTATGCACTCATCTAACTTTTTTTCTTTTAGTTACAGGATTGATGTTTTCCTAACTAGAAAAAAAACACATTACCCTGCTCTGCCTCTGATTGGCTGGTACTCCTTGCCATCTGGTTCAGAGCCAATTAGAAGCAGGATGCGGGTGGGAAAAAACTCTGCTGTCTCCTGTGTGTATGGGAAAAGGGGAGGGACAGAGGGAACAGGCAAGACAAACTATCCTACGTTTAAATAACATATCAAAAATATCTGCTTGACAACTTATTATGGAGCAGCTACGCTTTAGAAACAAGCCCAAAAAAAACGTGACCCGCGACTACCAATATTTGTAAGCGACTTTACAGAAAAACAAGCCCAAAGTCGCTTATAATAAGCCGACTTGGCAACACTGCTCCAGGTATTAAATTTCTGTTGCTGCTTCCCTGGAGCTGCTGTCCTCCCAGAGAATAGTCAGTTCAACAGCTGTTGGCTAGCTCAAGCTGACTCAGCAACAGTGTAGAAAGGTTTCCTTTTTTTTTTTTTCAGACAATGAGTTTTTAAGGAGATGTAGTTTACCTTGACATGTTTTGACTGTCACTGCAGTCTTCTTCAGAAGCGTCATCTGACGTGCGTCATGACGTGTCTTTATCAGCTGGTAGTATCCCGGAGGTGTGACCAGCCTGGCAAATTGGATTGCCAGGCTGGTCACGCCCCCCGCCGCCCGGTGTTCTTTGGAGGAGAGAGTCCCAGGTGTGTGACAGCATGAAAGCCCCCTCATCCCGGTTGATGGTGTTCCTGGCCCGCCTCCTGATCTCTATAGCCTCCTTAAAGGGCCAGTGTGTAATATTTGGCATGGTTTATTGTCAAATCTGAATCTGAATCTGAATATTCTACCCATTAATATGTTTATATAAGTGTATAATCGCTATAAAACAAAATTCGTTTGGTTTTCGTAGCCTTATAATTATGCTTTTATATATATATATATATATATATATATATGTAGCAAGGGCCTTGCTTTAGAGAATACAGGTGCCATGTATGTACGGCAGACCGAGTGGACAATCCAGCCAGCCAGAGAATGCGTTTTGCGTGTATAAATAAACCAACGAAGACGGGAGGAAGGAAGAAGGAGGAGGAAACAGCAGAGAGTGTTAGTAGTTCGTCGATAGAGAGTAGTGAAAAGTTTTTTTAGTTATAAAGTTTGCGAATGGACCACACTTAACATGCAGCAGGAGAGAATGAACCCGAACCGTCATCTGCGAGGAAAAGAAAATGCAAGCTCACTCCTTGTGATGCACTCTCTGCGGCGCTTTTCCTCCTGGTGATATATCTCCCCAGCGATGGTAGCAGTAGCACTGAATCCCATTCTGTGCAGCAAAATGGGAGCGGAGGATTCAGCCTCTTGTCTCACCCGCTCAGCATCCAAGTTCCTCATCTGTATGCTCCGGCTCAAACAGGTATGGCTCTGGGTCTGTGTCCGCTACAAGAAACTCTTCAAAATCGCGTTCAAAGTCGTCCATTGCAGCTACTATAGTCCGGAGATATTGCTAGGCTAAATAAACAGCTGAGCTCTGTTTACAGGCTACGCTGTCAGTCAGTGTGCGGGCTGGAGATTGGTGGAGCAGAGAAGGGAGGGCTGCCCCGCTGGGTACTGTAAGTGAGTATGTGTGTATGAAGTGTGTGTGTTACGCTAGAAGAGTCAGAGTTTGGGACGGAGTCTTTTACCCCTGGAGTGTTACTGGAGTTTTTAGAGTGCTCAAATAAATGGGCCTTTTTCCCGAACGCTACTCTGGTCTCCTGCTCGTGAGTGATTCATTACAATATCGTAACATGGTTTAGATTTCTAAATAAACATTCACCTCGTCGCTAGATAGACCTACTCCTGAAAAACTCTTGTCTGCACAAGGCTTTTTGTCCCTATGAGGCCACTGTCATTTACCCAACGGGAGGGGTGAGCGAGTGAGCCCTGCAATCTAGAATTTGACCACTGATGTCACTGTTTTAAATGGTTTTGAACCCATTTTACACACTGGCCCTTTAATCCAACGTTTGAACTTGTTGCTTTCCGATCCGATGATTTTTGCGTTGTCCCAGTCCATGACATGATTATTTCTTTTGCAGTGATCTGATATGGCTGATTTTAGGTTCACCTGCTCTGCTTTCTCTTTTTGCTGAACTTTTTGCCTGATTTGCCAGGCTGGTCACACCTCCAGGATACTACCAGCTGATAAAGACACGTCATGACGCACGTCAGATGACGCTTCTGAAGAAGACTGCAGTGACAGTCGAAACATGTCAAGGTAAACTACATCTCCTTAAAAACTCATTGTCTGAAAAAAAAAAAAAAGAAACCTTTCTATACTGAATCTAATTTGAGTAGACAAAATGAACCTATTTGCACTATGACTCAGCAACAGCTGTTGTCCCTGGAGATCAATAAAGTATTTGTACCAATATTTCTGACTAACAGGAAGGGCTTAAGAACAACGCATTTGGTCTTGACAAATGGAAATGATGTACATGTTTATTTGTATAAAGAGTGGGGAAGAGAAATCCGATCACGAGTGGTCACTCGAGACATGGGGAGACACATTCTAATGGCAGGTTATAACAGACAGCCTTTGGGCTGTCCACTTGTGACCCAGTCACTCAATACCAGGTGAAAACAGGCTAAATGTCATTTTACTTCCTCTTCTACTTTTCAGAAACATTTTATCATGATTGGCAACACCACAGAAGAAATTTCCCAACCCATACAACCACATACTGTTGGTTAAAAAAAAAAAAAAAAAAAAAAAAAAGTATGTTTGTTACTAAGGTAACATGATGTATCTCACATGACATATTTCATGTGAGATACATCATGTCACATCATGTGACGTGCTGTGACATACTACAGTGCGTTGTTAAAACAACTCAGAGTTTACTTTTGGTTTTACTTGGAACATGAACACCAAGCTCACCTGATACCCTTCCTTTGCTCCTGTCATACTTAATGCAGTCACTGAGGTTGCTGCCTTACAATGAACGGAAACATGGGTCATAATTTCTGCTCATAGAAACAACCTATGTAATCGTGTTTGGGAGGAGGACAGTCTCCAGTGACTTAACAGGACAATAAAATGCTTTAAACATGCAAAAGTCATTGAATGTCTTTCTCAGAGTGTATGCTTCCTGATAACCCACAGCGGTTAAGAAACTAATATGGTACTAACGTTCTAAAATGTGTAACACTATAAACTAAATGATTGTGCATCTTCTTGAGGATTTACTCATGTCCCTTTGCAATGTCCATTTTCTTGTCCCTTCACTCCACCCCATCTTTCTTTGCATGGCTGGCTCAGTAGGCACAATGTTGTTCTGTCAGTTCCATCAGATGAATAAGCCATCTGCCTCCAGCACTCATCTACAGTATGTAGTGTTAAGCCTACATGAGTGTGTGCATGCTGCTAATTACATATTGCTAATTACCATTGTCCCCCAGTACATTGACCCTGATCACACGGGGCTGGGGGTCACTGGAAGAACAAAGAACAACAAGCAGTGAAATATATGATACAATGATACAAAAATAACAATGGTAACCACAAGTTATGTGTTTGTTTTGTGCAAGATCCTGTCAGTGAGGGAGTGTGGCTCCTTCAGCTGTTATGATCACGAGTCAGGATGTTCTTCAAAGAGTGCTTCTCAAGCTGTGCAGGTAGGTCAAAGAAAGCTATTGACAGGCTCTACCACCCCACAGTTACCGCTGAGAGTTTGAGCTGGAGCTGATGAAGTTGACCCCCCGCTGGGAGTGCTAGCTCACATGCTAATAAGGAACTAAACACAGTGTTTCCATGGGCAATCACACTTCTGTTTCATCAGCTTGTAGATAGCATTGATCAGTGCATGTGTGGCGGCAATGTTGTTAA